GCACTTGGGCTCTGTTTAATAACAGCCTCTTTGCCAAAATGTAAATAGTTATGTAATTCTTAGAAGCCATCTGAAAGGATAAACACCACTTTAAAGAACTATTATTGAGTTTTGATTCAAGTCAAGCAAGGTGTCTTTCTCTTTTCACCACTCACTTTGTGTTTATTTGTTTTAAGTATGAGATGTCAGAATAAGAGGATTATATCTTCTGTGATATTTACTCCGGGTGCCCAGCTTGACAAACATTGAAGAGTGCTGATTTTCAACAAGTGCTGACCACCTACTGTCTGCAATTAGTCTGTTCCAAGGTTCTACAAGTTGGGCACCCAGAAATGAAGACACCCAAAATCGCTACTCATTTTTAAAACATTTAGATTAGGTTATTACACTTAAATTAAGACAAATGGCAACCTGTGTTTGGCAGAAAGGTGACGAGTTTTTATATTTGCAAGATATTACTCTGATCATCAGAAGAGGACAGGAACCTCTCAGTTAACCAAAGCAGCCTATTGCCATTCCATGAATGGTCACCTTCTTAACCACTACTACCACCTCATCAACTAGGATTTAGGGTGCATTTCTGAAGCTAGACACTGAAACATGAAAGACCCAGAATCATTGCCTTTAAAAAAAAAAATACTATGATTTATGTAAAATATGCCCTGACTTAAGGAATATGCACAATGGGTATTACGCACCTTCATCATTTTTACTGGTGTGCCTGCCTAGAAAAAATAATTTACTCTGTATTAGGTGAATTTTGAAAATGCCTCTTGGTTCTTTTCATAATTTGGGTATTTATGTTCTGCTGACGAACCTAGCACAGACAAAGTTGCCCTACAGATTAACAAAACCAGACATGGGGAATGGGGCTGTTTATCCCATTAACTCCTCAAAAAATCCTGTTGTATTTGAGCCTGAAAAATAGTAGGCCTGCCTTACAAAACCAGTGTGTTTTGGACAGTTTGGGGAGGGGGAGGGGAGAAGATAACAATAAAAATGAGGTAAGGCTTGTTTCTTTCATCTATTCAGTGGCAGCAGGGGAGATCTAAAACTATTGCATTGCTTAAAAAAAAAAAAAAAAAAAAAGTATTTCTTTGCTGATCCACACCAGAATGGGGACCAGAGTGGATAGGATAGTGGTGACAGCTAAGCTGGTGGGAATGCAAGAGCTCTGCTTTAATTGGCTGTTTCTGCTCAGTTGATGAGACACTAAGAAAAATATTACTGCCAGGATAGGATGGTTACTTAAAGGCACACAAAAACAGCATACATTTCTACATATAAATGCTTTTAGTTGGATGTCAACTAAAAGAAATTTATGCTATTTTTCGAGGCATGGGTGTAGACTGTCTCTCCTTGTTCTAGGGAAGCTGATTTTCTTTAACCTTTATTAGCAAACAAAACACGCTCCAAAAAAAAAAAAAAAAAAAAAAAAAAAACCTGCATGAACAGAGATGCTCTAAAATTTTCATTGTTAAATACACAGTGCCCTATGAAGTTTGTGAGGGTTCATGTTACAATGCCACTAAATCTAATAAATAGACACACACACACACACACCTTTAAACATAAGCAGTGTCACAGTCTTGTAGAGAAGAAAACTCTTGATCATTGGAGTATAATTACCTAGATTTCATTATTTTTTAAATATCTTAGCCACAGGGTTCAAAAGTTTTGTGTTTTTAAAGGCAATCACCATTAACCTTGGGCCAGTAGCCTCATTGTGTTTAATTAGTAAGCTAATGAAGCCAATCTTATTCTCTCTCTCAAGCACAAAAGGATAAATACAAGACACTGAAAGAGATCAGATTCATTGCTACCTGATTGTACTTATTTTGGAATGAATTTAAATCCTGCAATGTTCTAGAGAAGTGTGTATTAGATCACTATTTCTGAGCATTTGGGCTGCAGAAAATTAGCAAACAAAAGGCTAAAAATGAACATAATGTTTTCATCAACAAATCTTAAATACTCCAAAAATTAAGCACACAACAGACACTTTTAAAAGAATAGCAGTCTGTGCTTGTTTTTTTAGCCATCCAAGGTAGCACAGAAAATCCATCAACTATGGAGGTTGAGCTATTTTTAAAAAGCCCACTGCTTGTCCACACCATACTTCAAGCAACACACATGCTTTGAATCCTCACCAAAAAGCTGCAACTTTGTTCTCTTTTCGGACACAGCTGCTTAAGGAAAAGCTGGACAAATAAGGAGGGTTATACTGTTAAACAAATCCACCTTTCATCCAGTATTTGTGTAAGAAAATACATAAAAATGGATTTACAATACTGCTGGTGCTCTAATTTGATAATCCACTGGGACCTTTTAAAATAAATATGATTATATACATTTTAATTACAATTTCAGAAAGCCTGTGGAGGTATGTACTAGTGGATTGTGCCTTTTTATAACATGATACAGACAGTAATCTTACAGTCCATTTTTAAGCAACTTTATTTTTCTCCTGGTTATGTTTTTGCCATTATAGGAAATTACAGAAGCAGATTTTAACAACAAAGAGGGACCATCTCACTTGAAAGCCACATGAGCTAAGAGGATCCAAGTAGTACTCAGAAAGAAAATGACTAAAAAAAAAACCCTTTTATGCACGTTTTCCAGCCTGAGATGTTGAGAGCTAAATAACACTGTCCCAGCTACCCTGCTCCTTCCAAAATAGATCGCTCAACAAGATCAGGTATGTAAATACAATCACTCATAACCCCTTGTAAACACAAGGAAACAAAGCTGTAGACAAGTGCCCTATCAATTAGCTACATGTCCTAGCTGGCTTGATTTCCACCATAAATTAAAATTTTCTCTGCTCCTTCTACCACTAATGCCACTACCTTCAGCATGAATTTGAAACAATTAAGAGATGGCATTGTTGAAAATTCAAAACCCAGGCAGTGGCACTGCATATTTAATGGGCACTCGGAACAAAGAACCACCACCAGCAGCAAGAACCTTGCGCCTGGTAGATTTCAGCTAGTGCGATTCCTGGGAATACATTCCAAAACAAACCCAACCCGATCTCGCGCCCTTTGCTCCCCCGACCCTCTTTGCAGAACCGGACAGGGTCGCCTCCCGGTTTCCAGTAGGAAACCATCTAACCAACGCAGTGGGAAATCTCCCCCCACCCCCGTCTCTCCAAATTTAAAATAAAAATAGCCAAAGGACAAGAAAACTGCATTCACATCAGATGCACACAAGCAGCCTAGGGTACAACTGTAGCACACTTCCCCCCTTTAAAACTAGCAGCCTCCTGCGATCCTTTATTCACAACGCCTCCGCCACCCCCTAAAAATACACACCACACCAACCACCCTGTCTCTGTTCGGTATTGGATACAACGTAACAAGTTACTACACACAGACTTCCCCTATCAGAACACCAGATGTGACAAAATAAAGATCAGATTAGGATCTATTATGTTTGGGGGGGGAGGGCGGAGGAGATAAAAACAAAAAAGAAAATTGCCGTGTACTAGTGGGAAATCACTCCTTTCCCTTGCAAAATGAGCCCTGGAACCATGGTCCATGGAGGGAAATGCACTGATTTGGGAGGGGGGGGGAGTCAAATAATTAAGTCTTTCTATTTTGTAACAAACCCATATTAATAACATTCATGTACGTGTCTGTAGGATCAAAAGATTGTGTTGCTGTGTGCGATTTGTAACCTAGATCATTGTTTTACCAATCCCCAAAGGGTGAGCTCTCCTCCTCTCCACTCCTCATCAAAACAAGGAGGGAAACCACACAACAAAGCAGCCCTACAACGCTAAGGCTCGCCTCCCAGAAATGGCTCTAGCTAAAAAAAAACACCTCTTTCCCCCTTGACAAAGGGGACACTCCGGTTTTGTAATAGCTCAACAGACCTAGCAGAAAGGGAATATTTTCATAAGTACACACCACATATCCCTGAAACACTGAACTACCCCCTAAAAACCCACAGTTAGTGTCACATGCGCGCCCCACCACGCCCCTTTTGCCCCAAAAAGACAGCTCTTCAAGCTAAAGCAAATGTAAATCAAATGTATCTCAACGCTTTGGAAGATTCATTTTGTAGCATGGCCTTCTGATCTCCTTAGCACGTCCAATGTTTACATTAAGTTCCATCATGCCACACAATATCCCCATGAAAATGCAAACCCTGCAGATTTGTGAAGTTTTCAAAAGGATCACGAGGGAAGGTTTAAAAACAAAATACCCCCCCCCCAAAAAGCCTCTCAAAAGATGGGTTCTTCCGCTTCTCTCTTACAACTTTCTATTATGTCACCGTGTCACAAATCAGCCTAAATGACACATCTCATAAAAATAGCAAAAAATCTATGGGATCATAACATTTCATTAAGGGGGTAAGGGAGGAGAGACACGCTTCGACCGACTATCAGCACCGTTTAACTCTGGCAAGCTATTTACAAACGGTCCATTTCAAAGAATTAAAAGACACGATCAAGAAGAATCTTGTGGAAAAGGCGAGCAACGTTTCTTAAGGGCTAGTAAACTCACACGAAATTAACACATTAATGGAAAAGAGAAGGGGGAAAGAAATCAAGCAATTTACACAACGCAACCTTGCAAACCCGGGAGTAAAAAACATATGGCTCTCTCTACCTGAAAAACAAAACAGTTACTAACAACCAAAAGGTTTTTTTTTTTTTTTTTACTACGTTCAACTCGATTCTGACACACACCATGCCATTTTACAAAGTTTCCTAGGAATCTGAGGCCAGTAACACTAATTCATTCACACTCTGCTTAATTAAAGGAACACTGCAGAAACATAATCCATTGATATCAAAACCAACAACGAAAACAGGAGGGTTTCTTCTAAAAAAAAAAAAAAATCTTAGGAACAGCCTTTTTCCCCCACTATTCGTTGCAGTTAAGGGATATTCAAGGGGAAAGGGAGGTAGTTTCGAATAACTGCACACCATTTGATTCTTTTTTCGAATGTTAATACAAAACTGGTGAAGGGAAAGACAGAAATTTACTTACCTGCACCGAAAGTTCCACAAAGAAAGGCGAAAGTCAACCACGAAGCAATCATATTCCTTTACTTTTTCCCCCCCTTGTGTTTCCCCCTCTACCCCCAAGGGGGGGAAAAAACCGATCGGGAGAGCGAAAGGGGGGGGGGCGAGGTTGGAGGAAAATGAGAATCGCTCCCGAAAAACAAGCACAACAAAAATAAGGCTCCCACAAAAGCGAGTTGAGTTCCTTCACAGTTGCAACAACGTATCCAGTTCGAATGGGGCACCAAATGGCAGCGCCAGGACAGCTGTAGCCCGGTAGCCGTCCGGCTCCTGCTCCGAGCTTTCCAAGAGTTTGCTTGGCCGGGGCTTTTGTGCAAGGGAGACAAGCGTGCAACACACCAACTCTCTCTCCCCCACCCCCCACCCCAGCCCAGCCCCTTCTGCCTGCCCCAGCCAG